CCCTCTTCGTGGCGCATTCATGGGGGCACTGCCACCTGTAATCATCGTGTGCACCTGTGTCTGTAGCAACTAGAGTCGGTCACTCCTGCAGGAATGGACGGCCCGGTAGGACAGGGGTTTGCAGCCGTGAGCATCAGGCCAGCTCAGCCACTTCTCGGGGCCCGAATCCCATGGGGCTGGCGGTCCCAGTTCTCTCTTGTGCCCAGTCCAGGACGTCTCCCCCAGGAGTGAGCTCACAGGGCGGATGGAAGACCAGCTAGGTCAGCTGTGGCAGAGTGTGGGACACTCTGTAAGGCACTTGTATTTACTTCTTTCCGGAGACAGCACAGACCCGCAGGGTGGTGACAGGAGAGCGATTGACAGCCTGCTTCAGCACAGGTGACTGAAGGAGCACATTCCTCACTGCTGTGCAAACGACTGGTGCTATTTTTAAACAATCTGTTCTCTAACTTCGATTGAATATTCCTACTTCTATGTTTGCACTACAGGAGCCTTTCCCATAGATAATTGGAAAAAATAAACTCAATTCAGTTCAAAGTCAAGTTATTTTAAGTTCGTAGTTAGTGAAGTGAATTAAGTGCTTTCGTCTGGGTATTAATGGGGGCTAAACACAGAGCGGCACACAGTCATGAAGAGTAAACAGATCCATAGGAGTAGGTGCTGCCTGTAGGATTTATCTGCACCATGTCTAGTGCTCAGTCGCCCTGCTGGTCCATTTTGCTGGCTACACAACATTTCTGATGGATTGATGGAGACAATGTCCAGAAAATACAGAGGCAGTAAAAGGATGTGAACAACGTGGGGATTAATTACGCATTAGATCAGTGGTTCGCAACCTTCTGGAATCGTAATGTAAATATCTGATGTGCAGGATGGTCTTAGGTGATACCTGTGAAAGGGTTGTTCGACCGCCAAAGGGTTCGCGACGCACAGGTTGAGAACCACTGCATTAGATGAAGAGGGGAGCTTGTGAAACTCGCGATTCTTGATGAAACTCTGAGCCAGAACCTCGGACCAGGCTGCAGCTCCAGGGAGCTCAGCTGGTGCCTCGCCGGTTGGCTTAGAGAGGACCCCCACTGGCCTCCCTCCATCTCCTGGCTTAATAGAGCCAGCGTTGTCCTTGGCAGGGCTCACGCCACTGAATTTTTGATGCTCTGAAATGAGAACAAAGCTGGGGATGGACGCATGCCGGGGCCAGGCCTCTCCCAAGAGTCAGCCGTGACCGCCCCACGGCCTCTGTTACTGAAAAGACTTGGCCCTGGCCTTCCGTTCATTTTCACTAGAAAATAAAAACAGGGACAGTGCCAAGCGAATACCATGCGGGAGGCCATGCCTTCCAACAACAGTTTCAGAAACACTTTTCCAAAAGTTGGCTTGGACCAGCTGTCACCATCCTTGGTGTTGGAACCAGCCTGGTCCATGCCCCAGGCTGCCTCTGCCTGGCGTGGACGGTGCCCTTCAGGGTCTCCTGGCACTCATCCAGTCCACCTGCCCCGTTGGGCATGGAGAACATTCTGAGCTGTTGTGCTGTCTGGTTGGGTTTTGTAATAGTGGACGGCGCCATCCACATAAGGGTTAGGGACACTGTTGGGCAGCCACCCTCCCACGGCCTCGTAAGTGTGTCTGTAATGAGCTCAGACTTCTCGCATTCAGTGAGCTGCTTCCTTGGGGGCAGCTGACTTTTGGTTCTTGAGCCACAAGTAATTGGAAGAGGCCCAGTTCCAATCCTGGAAAGAAAACAAATTATAAGGAAAGGAGCTGGGACCCAAACACAGGGGCTGAGTCACCGGGGATACTTGTGCAGACTCTGCAGGTGGGCATCCAGGTCCAGGGCGGTCACTTGTGAGGGCACAGTGTCTTGTGGCCTTTCACCAACAGGGAAGTTTGCCTCTTGGACCAGATGTTCACCACAGGCCAGGGCCCAGTCCCCTGGGGATACAGTGTTGGCTGGGGGAGCTCAGGGGAGCCTGGGGAGCAGGTCTGGGAGCCAGGGTTCAGGCGGGATGAGGGTGATAGTGGTGCTCACAGCGTGGGAGCTGGTGCCTGGAGGGAAGCTGTGTCCAGTGCATGGGGACCAGAGGCCCTGCCAGGAAAGCTGGTGAGGATGGGAGGGGGGTGTTCCCCGAGTTCATGCTGGCATGAGCACACACCTGTTCTCAGAGGAATACCAGGGGGACCTGAAGGGTGGACAGGCCCCACCACTGAAAGAGTGGACATGAGGTCCTGCCACGGCCCACAAGGCCCCACGTTCTCTCCCTCCAGAAGCATCTGCTAGAGTCTGTGTCCTCTCCAAACAGTGGCCGGCCCGGCAGTAGTCAGCAGGTCTCCCTGTCCACCCCCCATGTTTGGTCGGATGGGAGCAGAGTGGTCCGGGAGCAGAAACAGTGCTGAGTTGGCTGAGCAGAAGGAGTTTAGAAGGCGCCCAGCTGGACAGGGCAGGGCAGGGCCAGCAGGGTGTTGGGGCAGCTGCACCTGGTGCTCAAACCCATGATAAACTCACGTCGCCACCTGCTGAGGCCTGATTCACCAAAGCCCCGAATGTCTGTGAAACACAAGCAAAAGCCAGGCGAGTAAATAGGGGTCGGGGGCTTCAAACCGGGTGAGCCAGCTGAAGGGAGGTTTATGTCTGACCTGATTTGGGCCAAATAGGCCAGATGTGTCAAAGTATGATAAATCGGGGTCTGTTTTCTGGGTTAAAATGTCCAGAAATAGCTCCCTCCAATTAACCTGCACAGCTGGTCCTTAAGGAAAGGGCTGGAGGAGGGGGTACCAGGGAATCCACGGGCCTGTCTCCTCCCGAATCCACCAGGATGGGTCTGGCTGCAGGGTGGCACATGGGGTGTCTCCTCCTGCATGGCCCAGGGTCTGTGCCCTCCGCTCCCCAAACGCAGTGGTCGAAACCCCCCATGGGGGCTCACACAGAACCTGGCTGGCAGCTGTGCTGAGATTTGGGGCCGGGCCCACAGTCAGCCCAGCACGGGGTGTTGTATGGGTTGTGTCTGGGGCTGCTGATCACGAGACCACCACAGGTTCCTTGAGGTCCTCAGGCTCCTGACCAGGTGGTGTCCCGGCAGAGATACGTCACCACTCTGACCTGGTGTCGAGGCTGACTCCATCCACCCTCCTCCCCGTCACCACTGTCCCTGAGGATGGCGGCTTCCCACCTAAGCCCTTCCTCAGGGTGGAGAGTGGGTTTCTAACCACGTCTGTCCCAGTCCCCACGGGCCCTGTGATCTCTTGACTGAAAACTTGTGGATCCGGGTTTTCCCCGAATCCAGTTTCTGGCCCAGATCCAGCAGAAAGCCTCCCCTGCTCTCTCTGAGCTTACACCCAACTTGACACAGAGGAGTGACAAAGCCAGAGCCCCCCAAGGAGTGTTTCACCCAGGGTCAAGCTCAGAGCCCCCCACCCCTTGCCCTGCTGCCCCATGAGGCTCAGGGCTGGACTCAAAAGCCTTCCCATTGGCCCAGGCAGCATGGAGCGACCAGCCCTAAATAGCGGATAAAACTTTACCACCCTCAGGGGATGAACAAGCACCAAAAACTACTGAAACAAAACCCACCCCAAACCTAGAAGCAACAAGCTGCAACAGGTCTCACATGGCTGTGAGCTCAGTGGGCCTGGTGTAGGTGTAAGGAGATGCCCCTCCCCATGGCCAGGGGAACGGAGACCCTGCCTCTGAGCCCTGCTCACTGGGTGAACTCGGGAGGGGTACAGAAGGGGTTATTATTTAGGGATGATGCCAGGGTGTGGAGCAGGAGACTCCACACCACCCCACAAGGTCCCCAGCCCTCTGCCAGCCCAGAGAGATCTAGAATGGTGAGCTGGGAGACAGGAGCTGTGGGACTCTCTGCGGCCCACCCTCATGTCGGAGGCCACGGAAGCAAGTCCGTGGCCAGGGTTTCCAGGCACACCACAGGGACAATGATTAACGTAGAGGCCAAGGTATTGGGTTCTGACAGCTCATTGATGGGAAGGCCGGGTGCTGCTCAATACACAAATCACCCAATAGTGAGTGCCAGTCGGAGGAAGGTTTTCGGGAGCCCAATTTGCCCAGTTCCTTGCAGACAGTGATACATCATTGCCTGGCCCTCAAGATTCAGGACTTGGGGAGCAGCCGTGTGGGGTCCCACCACCTCTGTGCCCTTGAGCACCAAGGTATTGAAAAACTGACTGCTGACCCCCAACCTGTTCTCCATTTAAGGCGTCAGGTGTGACCTCAAGTTGCTGTCTCTGCGTGGTGGAAGGTCACCACTGCTGGCCCCCACCACTGAGGGCTCCGGAAGCTGGACAGGCATGAGGGTCTGTCCTCAGTGCCCAGAGGGTCATAAGCGGGGGGCGGGGGGGGTGACACTGCAAGGCACAGGGAGGACAAGTGGCCCCGGCCTGGCCCCTGGTGGTCTCACCTCCAGTGTGAGGAGGCCCGGGACTCAGAGCACAGAGCACATGGTGTCGGGTGAGCCCCTCTTCTCCACCCCCCTGGCCTGGGGCTCCCCCAGGGGCAGGCTGAGCCGCTGAACCTCTCTCCTCCCCCCACGCTGGAGCCCAGAACCCTTGGCTGCAGCCTCTCGAGTGGAGCCTCCCCCCAGGGCTAGGGGGCAAGGGGTCTTGGTTGGAATAGCAAACTCTTTCCTTCCCTCACAGATTTTCAGATTTTCTTAAATAGATGTTGCATTTCCTTCTTGCCCTTAGGACTGTTTCCAGAGTCTTTAAATGGCTGTTTGTTTGTTTTTAAATGATCGTTACCAGTTTTGCTGGGGATCAGGTCAGCTGAGCTCCTGTGCGAAGCCAATATCCAATGAACTTTTCTGGTTGGTAATCCTCGCCTGAGGATATTTGTTCCATTGCTGTTTAGAGAGAGTGGACGGAGGGAGGGAGGGAGGGAGACATCAGTGTGAGAGAGATACATCGATTGGTTGCTTCCCAGACCTGGGCGGGATGGAACCTGAAACCCAGGTGCCTGCCCTTGACCAGCAATTGAACTCACGACCCTTCGGGCTGGCCCCGTGGTGCACTCTAACCACTGATCCACACCGGCCAGGGCTTCCATTAAATCTTTTTTACAGGAATTGGGCATTTTTGTGGCTAGCCCTGGCCCTCCTGCAGTAGCACACTTGCATGGGTTGGGGTCAGGAGTCAGGGCAGCTGGGACAGACATCGATCCATCATGGGGAACCTTTCTGCCCCAACACGTGTCCCTCTCCTCCCCAGGGCGAGTGCTCCCGCAAATGCCACAACCTCTTCGTGATGGAGACGGTGTGCGTGGCCTGGTTCTCCTTGGAGTTCCTGCTGCGCTCGCTGCAGGCCGAGAACAAGTGCGCCTTCCTACGGACGCCGCTCAATATCATCGACATCC